ACCACAGATCTGACCCGTACTACTCTCTGAATGTTTCCTGCCCTGAACTCAGACTGCCATTGGACCACTCTACCAGTTTGTCAACTGCAAGTACCCATTTACTGTGCTTAGCTTGTGATTGCCCCCACATGGTAACTAGGCACTATAGCAAGACCTGGGGGCAATCAAGGACCAGTGGGCTTGTTTGCCTTATGAGAAAGGGGGCTGCCACAGGCAAAGAACACAAAGCCAGCTGTAGTGTCTGACCACTAATGCTAAGGATAGGCGTGACATTATATTTTTTTCCTTCCAATAATCGTTTAGCAATCGTTATGGGGCATAAGTCCTGGAAAAGCTGATAAGTATGGCCTTGGAACATCAGGGAACCCACCGAGCATGCTGCCTGTAGGAGCTGTCCCTTGGTACAAAAGAAGTGAAGTTTGGCGATGATATAGCGTGGCGGGCCACTCGGGCGATGTAGGGCCAGAGCCCTATGGACTCTGTCCATCTCTAAACGCTCTATGGGGATTGCCGGGGCCAACTCCTGAAAAAGGGTCGTGAAGGTGGACAGAACATCTGTGATAGATTCTGGAAGGCCGCGTATGCAGAGATTTGAGCGGCGGGTCTGGTTTTCAAAATCCTCTAGGCCAGTGGTGGGCAACCTTTTTTTTCAACTGAGCCAAATCTCGCCAAAACCATGATTGAAATTTATTTTGAGAGCCACATTTTTAAAACTGAAAAATACATCTCCCATATAGTAATTCATCCCCCATAGTGTAATTCATCCCCCATGGTGTAATTCATCCCCCATAGTAATTCATCCCCCATATAGTAATTCATCCCCCATATAGTAATTCATCCCCCATATAGTAATTCATCCCCCATATAGTAATTCATCCCCCATAGCAATTCATCCCCCGTATAGTATTTCATCCCTCGTATAGTATTTCATCCCCCGTATAGTATTTCATCCCCCGTATAGTATTTCATCCCCCATATAGTATTTCATCCCCCATATAGTATTTCATCCCCCATATAGTATTTCATCCCCCATATAGTATTTCATCCCTCATATAGTATTTCATCCCTCATATAGTATTTCATCCCCCCATATAGTATTTCATCCCTCATATAGTATTTCATCCCCCCATATAGTATTTCATCCCTCATATAGTATTTCATCCCCCCATATAGTATTTCATCCCTCATATAGTAATTCATCCCTCATATAGTATTTCATCCCCCCATATAGTATTTCATCCCTCATATAGTAATTCATCCCTCATATAGTATTTCATCCCCCCATATAGTATTTCATCCCCCCATATAGTATTTCATCCCTCATATAGTATTTCATCCCCCCATATAGTATTTCATCCCCCCATATAGTATTTCATCCCCCCATATAGTATTTCATCCCCCCATATAGTATTTCATCCCTCATATAGTAATTCATCCCTCATATAGTATTTCATCCCTCATATAGTATTTCATCCCTCATATAGTATTTCATCCCCCATATAGTAATTCATCCCCCCACATAGTATTTCATCCCCTCATATAGTATTTCATCCCTCATATAGTAATTCATCCCTCATATAGTATTTCATCCCTCATATAGTTTTTCATCCCCCCATATAGTATTTCATCCCTCATAAAGTAATTCATCCCCCATATAGTATTTCATCCCCCCATATAGTATTTCATCCCTCATATAGTAATTCATCCCTCATATAGTAATTCATCCCTCATATAGTAATTCATCCCCCCATATAGTATTTCATCCCCCCATATAGTATTTCATCCCTCATATAGTAATTCATCCCTCATATAGTAATTCATCCCTCATATAGTATTTCATCCCTCATATAGTATTTCATCCCTCATATAGTATTTCATCCCCCCATATAGTATTTCATCCCTCATAAAGTAATTCATCCCTCATATAGTATTTCATCCCCCACAGTACTATTCCCCCCCCCCCCTTCTAGTAAGCCAAGTCCCCCGTGTCAATTCACTTACCTTTTGCGTTCCTCTCGCTGTCTTCCCGCGCCGTTCGGGTCTTCAGGGCGGACTGTGAGAGGAGCCTAGCTCCCCTCCCCTCACGTTCGGCACGCTGCCCCGCCTACACACATCCTGACAGCCACATCCGTAGGCCGGATTAAAAGGTCCGCGCGGACTTTTGGGGCTGCCAACCGAGAGGAGGCAGGGGGGAGCGGCCGACCGAGAGGAGGGAGGGGAGCAGGCGCCCGGCACACAGAAGAGCCGCATTAGACTGGGTAAAGAGCCGCATGTGGCTCGCGAGCCGCGGCTTGCCGACCACTGCTCTAGGCTAGAGTGCAGAGTAACGTTCTCATTGCATAGGAGTTCAAGATCGTCCGAGTGTGTTTGGAGCGAGGTGTCAAGGTCATCGACCCGGTGTTCAAGGTCAGAGGTACATTGCCCCAATTCGCAGATTTCCTTAGACAGCTTGTCTGTAATACGGTTGGATGTTAGTTTCAGGGCTTTGTGCAGCATCCTTTCAAACTGCTTGAGGAAGTCAGAAGAAGACAGGTCAGAGGCAGAAGCATGTAGGGGGGTCCCCAGTTAGAGTCAGACTCACCATCAGATGTACAGAGTGGACTGGATTGTGCAGCTTGTAGTGCAGCATAGGGCTGTGTCTGTGTCTTTGCATGTGAAGCAGGGATGGCGGCTATCTTGGAGGAGGCCCATGCCAGAGTCTCCTTAATAGGTTTATTATGCAGCTGTGTCAGGTGCTTGGCTGCTCCCCGGACCATCGTGACAGGTACCAGGGGAGTTGCCACAGAGACTGGAGCAGTCACGGGATCAGGGCTGGCGGGAGCGGTGTCCGGGAGGCTGCTTTCCCCCTCAATGCAGTGGTGCCTCAGGCGGACATGTCTGCTCCGATGGCCCCACGCATGTGCATCTCTAATTAGCTTTCCATCATAATAAAATTACACATTTTTTATAATTATATTGTAATTATAAATATTATTTTATATATTACCATTAAATTCTATAAAATAATATTTTATATTTCATTTTTTTTCCTCTACTGATCATGTTTATTCTCGGAGACTTTAACATCCCTATCAACACCAATAACCCAGCTACATCCCAACTCCTCCACATAACCTTTTATTTTGCACTAGCACAGTGCATACAGTCCTCCACCCACTCTGACGGAACACTCTTGACCTTGTCTTCTCTCACCTTTGCACTCCCTGCAACCTCACAAAACACCCCTTTCCTCTCTCTGATCACATCCTCATCACCTTCTCCATCTCCTCATCCTCAAACACCTATCCCTCCAAACGGCAAACAATTTCCAGCAGAAACCTCTGGAATTGGAACCCGGCTCCCTTCCACTCTGCAACTGACCAACTTTACGACAGCATCCATCCCCTGTCCTGCCCTGACCTGGCCACTACTGTCTACAACAACTCGCTTTCAGCTGCTCTAGACTCGCTCGCACCCCCAACAACACGAAGCATTAGGCCCCGACCGCTACAACCCTGGCAGACCGACCACACCAGAAACCTCAAACGACATAGTCGTGCGCTGGAGCTACTGTGGCGTAAAACAAAATCCCAACAAGCGTTCACTCGCTACAAATCTGCCTTCTTAACATACACTTCCTCCCTTCACGCTGCCAAACAAGCCTACTTTATTACCCTCATTAGTACCTTCTCCTCCAGTCCTCGCCGGCTCTTCTCCACTTTTAACTCTCTACTTTCTCCGCCTCCACTTCCACCCAGTACCTCACTTACCGCCCACGACATTGCCAACCACTTCAAAAACAAGATTGACGCAATTCGTAGGGACTTCGCCACTGCTCAGACACCCACCCCACTTAGCACTCCTCACACAATAAACCCCCTCAACACTTTGCTCCCTTGACCTCTACCACCGAAGAGGTCACTAAGATTTTCTCCGAAGCCCGCCTCACCACCTGCCCCCTGGACCCTGTCCCCTCACAACTCCTGCGGTCCCCCTCCTCTTCCATCCTATGCTCCCTTACTCACATCTTCAATCTTTCCCTCTCCACCGGTACCTTCCCTTCCCCTCTAAAGCATGCGCACATCACTCCCATACTTAAGAAACCCTCCCTGGACCCATCCGACCTGAACAACCTAAGACCCATCTCCCTGCTGCCATTTACCTCTAAACTCCTAGAATGCTTAGTCTACAATCACCTGAGCTCCCATCTCACCGACAACAACCTTCTCGACCCTTTACAGTCTGGCTTTCGCCCCCTACACTCCACTGAAACTGCCGTACTCAAACTCTCCAATGACCTGCTAACCGCCAAACCCAATGGCCATTATACTATACTCCTACTACTTGACCTCTCTGCAGCTTTTGACACGGTTGACCACCCCCTCCTCCTCAAAAAAACTGCACTCTCTTGTCCTCCGAGACTCCGCTCTTTCCTGGTTCTCCTCCTATCTACCACAGCGCTCCTTCAGCGTTACCTATAACTCTGACTCCTCCTCTTCACTTCCTCTCTCTGTCGGGGTCCCTCAAGACTCTGTCCTTGGACCCCTCCTCTTCTCCATCTACACCTCCTGCCTTGGCCAATTGATAAACTCCCACGGCTTCAACTACCATCTCTATGCCGACGACACACAAATCTACCTCTCTACCCCTCACCTCACCCGCTCAGTCTCCAATCGCATCACCAGCCTACTAAGTGACATATCGGACTGGATGTCACTCCACTTCCTCAAAATCAAACTTTCCAAAACTGAGCTTCTAGTATTCCCCCCCAGCCCGTGCCCCTTCCCCCGACTTCTCCATCAAGATCAACAACACTACCATCAGCCCCACCCCTCACGCCAGGATAATAGGTGTAATCCTAGACTCCAATCTGACATTTCAGCCCCAGGTCGAATCACTGTCCAAATCTTGTAGACTTCACCTCCGCAACATCTCCAAGATACGCCCGTTCCTAACCCTCGGAAACCACTAAGCAACTCCATTCCCTCCCTGGTTATATCTCGCCTTGACTATTGTAACTCCCTCCTCATTGGCCTACCTCATCGCAGGCTATCCCCTCTTCAGTCCATCATGAATGCTGCCAGACTCATCCACCTTACTAACCGCTCTGTATCTGCCACCCCTCTCTGCCAATCCCTCCACTGACCTCCATTCAGTGTCCTCCACCCCTCTCTGCCAATTCCCTCCACTGGCCTCCACTCAGTGTCCTCCACCCCTCTCTGCCAATCCCTCCACTGGCCTCCACTCAGTGTCCTCCACCCCTCTTTGCCAATCCCTCCACTGGCCTCCACTCAGTGTCCTCCACCCCTCTCTGCCAATCCCTCCACTGGCTCCCAATTGCCCAACGGATAAAATTCAAAACACTAACAATAACGTATAAAGCCATTTATAACTTCGACCCAAACTACATCACTGATCTTGTCTCTAAATACCACCCAAACCGTACTCTCCGCTCCTCGCAAGACCTCCTACTCTCTAGCTCCCTTGTCTCCTCCTCCCATGCTCGTCTCCAGGGTTTCTCAAGGGCTTCACCCATCCTCTGGAACTCCCTACCCCAAGCTATCAGGCTATCGCCTACTCTGCTCACCTTTAGGCGCACTCTGAAAACCTATCTCTTCAGGGAAGCCTACCCCACCCTCAGCTAACACTGGAATCTTCTACCCCTCCTACCAGTCCATCCCCCACAGCTAATTACCTCCTGTACCACTGTCCCCTCCCTCCTAGATTGTAAGCTCCAAGGAGCAGAGCCCTCTAATTCCTCTTGTATTGAACTGTACTGTCTCCCTCCATAATGTAAAGCGCTGAGCAAACTGTCAGCGCCATATAAGTCCTGTATAATAATAATAATGTTTATGGTAACTTACTGTGTGTCTAGCTTTTCATTTTTTTTTTCTTGTCAATTTTTTTTTTTTTTATTATACTAGTAATGTTCAGGTATGATTCTGATTATATGAAGTTTTCAAGCTCACCCCCAACAGATGTCCCACGAGATGTCCCAGGAGCTGAAATAAAGACACATCATTACTAAATTAACTTTCTATCATAATGAAAATACACAATTTGTTTTATTACTTCACTGTAATTATAAAAATGTATTGATTTTTAATTTAATTGTTTAAAACAATATTTTATATGTCAGGAGCGTGTAACACGTCTGTTTCATGGCAGCTGCAGGTCTCATTCCAGAATCCTGGTTTGGGCTTAGCTCCCCCATCTGATTGTTCAACTGCAGGATGGTTGGTGCAGATACATCCTCTGGGTTGAGTCCAAACCTGCTTTAGGCCTGCCAAGCCCTTAGTGTCATGCTTGTGATAGTGTTTGTAACAGGTGCTCAAGTTCCCTGTTTGCCTGCCTTGTTCCCATGCCTTGAACTTTACCTTCACCTGATGCCTGCTCTGACCACAGATCTGATCCTGAGTACTTTCTGAACTCAGCCTGCCTGTTGACCACAGTTCTGACCCTGAGTACTTTCTGAACTCAGCCCGTTTGTTGACCACAGATCTGATCCTGAGTACTTTCTGAACTCAGCCCGTTTGTTGACCACAGATCTGATCCTGAGTACTTTCTGAACTCAGCCCGTTTGTTGACCACAGATCTTACCCTGAGTACTTTCTGAACTCAGCCTGCCTGTTGACCACAGTTCTGACCCTGAGTACTTTCTGAACTCAGCCCGTTTGTTGACCACAGTTCTGACCCTGAATACTTTCTGAACTCAGCCCGCCTGTTGATCACAGTTCTGACCCTGAGTACTTTCTGAATTTAGCCCGCCTGTTGACCACAGTTCTGACCCTGAGTACTTTCTGAACTCAGCCCGCCTGTTGATCACAGTTCTGACCCTGAGTACTTTCTGAACTCAGCCCGCCTGTTGACCACAGATCTGACCCTGAGTACTTTCTGAACTCAGCCCGCCTGTTGATCACAGTTCTGACCCTGAGTACTTTCTGAACTCAGCCCGTTTGTTGACCACAGATCTGATCCTGAGTACTTTCTGAACTCAGCCCGTTTGTTGACCACAGATCTTACCCTGAGTACTTTCTGAACTCAGCCTGCCTGTTGACCACAGTTCTGACCCTGAATACTTTCTGAACTCAGCCCGCCTGTTGACCACAGTTCTGACCCTGAGTACTTTCTGAACTCAGCCCGTTTGTTGACCACAGATCTGATCCTGAGTACTTTCTGAACTCAGCCCGTTTGTTGACCACAGATCTTACCCTGAGTACTTTCTGAACTCAGCCTGCCTGTTGACCACAGTTCTGACCCTGAATACTTTCTGAACTCAGCCCGCCTGTTGACCACAGTTCTGACCCTGAGTACTTTCTGAACTCAGCCCGCCTGTTGATCACAGTTCTGACCCTGAGTACTTTCTGAACTCAGCCCGTTTGTTGACCACAGTTCTGACCCTGAGTACTTTCTGAATTTAGCCCGCCTGTTGACCACAGATCTGACCCTGAGTACTTTTTGAATTCAGCCTGCCTGTTGATCACAGTTCTGACCCTGAGTACTTTCTGAATGTTTCCTGCCCTGAACTCAGACTGCCATTGGACCACTCTGCCGGTCTGCCAACTGCAAGTACCCATTTACTGTGCTTAGCTTGTGATTGCCCCCACGTGGTAACCAGGCACTATAGCAAGACCTGGGGGCAATCAAGGACCAGTGGGCTTGTTTGCCTTATGGGAAGGGGGGGCTGCCACAGGCAAAGAACACAAAGCCAGCTGTAGTGTCTGACCACTCATGCTAAGGATAGGCGTGACATTATATTTTCTTTCTTCCACTAATCATGTTTATGGTAATATATGTGTAGCTGTTTATTTTCTTTTTCTTGTCAATCACTTTTAATCTATCAACTTGCAGCAGCAATGTAGGTGTGATTGACCTTTGATTAAATTATACAATTATTACAATAATTCTGTTACGCTCACCCACAACAGTTGTCCCAAGAGGTGCCCCAGCACCTGAAATAAAATAAAGACACATCATTAATACTGAGCTTTCTATCATAATGAAAATACGCAAATGATTTTATAGCAGCAATAGACCCAGATACAACAATAGATCCACCCCAGCAGCAATAGACCCACATACAACAATAGTTCCACCCCAGCAGCAATAGACCCACATACAACAATAGATCCACCCCAGCATAAATAAACCCACATACAACAATAGATCCACCCCAGCAGCAATATAGACCCACATACAACAATAGTTCCACCCCAGCAGGAATAGACCCACATACAACAATAGTTCCACCCCAGCAGCAATAGACCCACATACAACAATAGTTCCACCCCAGCAGGAATAGACCCACACACAACAATAGATCCACCCCAGCAGCAATAGACCCACATACAACAATAGATCCACCCCAGCAGCAATAGACCCACATACAACAATAGATCCACCCCAGCAGCAATAGACCCATATACAACAATAGTTCCACCCCAGCAGGAATAGACCCACATAGAACAATAGTTCCACCCCAGCAGCAATAGACCCACATACAACAAATAGTTCCACCCCAGAAGCAATAGACCCACATACAACAATAGTTCCACCCCAGCAGCAATAGACCCACATAGAACAATAGTTCCACCCCAGCAGCAATAGACCCATATACAACAATAGTTCCACCCCAGCAGGAATAGACCCACATACAACAATAGTTCCACCCCAGCAGCAATAGACCCACATAGAACAATAGTTCCACCCCAGCAGCAATAGACCACATACAATAGTTCCACCCCAGCAGGAATAGACCCACATACAACAATAGATCCACCCCAGCAGCAATAGACCCACATACAACAATCAGATTTCTTTCAAGCTGTTACCTTTATATAAATACATCTTCTTAGTTGAATTATAAAATACAAGACTTAATAAGATAAAATGTGTGTAAGTGTTTTGATTATATTAATTATAAGAGGGGAAATACTTCTTTTGGCAAAAAAAAACTGTTTAGAAAAATGTTTTGAGAAGGAATAGAATGCAATGTACACATTTACTCATATCGCACACAATATGATATTTTTTATTGAGAATGGTCCTTACCTATCTGATTAATAGGTCCAATGGTCAAACTTTTCACATTCACATTGTTGTTCAAAGCAGAACTCATTGAAATACATGACTGCAATCAGAAAATAGGACATCATATTTGTACTCAGAAAAAATCATTGTTGCTCTAATTAGTTTCAATTTGCTATAAGCCAAGCAAAGGGTTTGTAATTGTAAGCTTTTCTGTTTTAATGCTCGTAGTTATAATGGTATAGACCAGGGGTCTCCAAACTTTCTAAACAAAGGGCCAGTTCACTGTTCTTCAGACTTTAGGGGGCCCAGACTACTGGAAGTAGAAAATGCCCTGATATTAGTGAGAGTAAACAATACAGAATTGAGCACCCTCTGTGTCATTGAGTGGGAAGAAACATGCCTCATCATTGGTGTCATTGTCAGAAATTGTGCCCCATCGTTGGTGTCATTGGGAGAAATTGTGCCCCATCGTTGGTGTCTTTGGGAGAAATTGTGCCCCATCGTTTTTGTCATTGAGAGAAATTGTGCCCCATCGTTGGTGTCTTTGGGAGAAATTGTGCCCCATCGTTGGTGTCATTGGGAGAAATTGTGCCCCATCGTTGGTGTCATTGGGAGAAATTGTGCCCCATCGTTGGTGTCATTGGGAGAAATTGTGCCCCATCGTTGGTGTCATTGGGAGAAATTGTGCCCCATCGTTGGTGTCATTGAGAGAAATTGTGCCCCATCGTTGGTGTCTTTGAGAGAAATTGTGCCCCATTGTTGGTGTCATTGAGAGAAATTGTGCCCCATCGTTGGTGTCTTTGGGAGAAATTGTGCCCCATCGTTGGTGTCTTTGGGAGAAATTGTGCCCCATCGTTGGTGTCATTGAGAGAAATTGTGCCCCATCGTTGGTGTCATTGGGAGAAATTGTGCCCCATCGTTGGTGTCATTGGGAGAAATTGTGCCCCATCATTGGTGTCATTGGGAGAAATTGTGCCCCATCATTGGTGTCATTGGGAGAAATTGTGCCCCATCGTTGGTGTCATTGGGAGAAATTGGGCCCCATTGTTAATGTCATTGAGAAGAACTGTGCCCCTTCGTTGGTTTTAGTGGAGGGAATTATGCCCCATTGTTGGTGTCTGAGGATGAAATATTGCCCCAAGAGCCAGATAAAAGCAAGCAAAGGGTCGCATCCAGCCCCCAGTTTGGAGATCACTGGTATAGATAATAGTTCCAACATTTTGGAAGAAAAGAACCCAAATTTCTGTTTAGTCTGGTACCATTACTATCATTCTACAAAAAATGTGAAGAAAAGACATAGGGTCACCCATATCGCTGCTTGGACACAGCCAGCTCTTCCCAAACTGAAAGCTAGAATTCTGCTTTAATATTGGAAGATCACAAAATCCACAATGTATCCATAATCCAGAAAAAAGTGTTATATCACAGCTATACTCTACAATTCTTGTCTAAGGGTCTTCCACCTAAAGACACCTTCCATCACCAGCAAAATATGCTCGGAATATTGGGTTAGGGCAGGGATGTCAAACACCGGGCCCCATCAGCATTATGATGGCCTACAAAGGACCAGTTGTATCTGTAGGTCTAGATGTCCAAAGTACCCCACCCCCCTTACATCAAAAGTCTGGATCCCTCCCCCACCCTTCCTTACATCAGTGCACCCCTCTTACCTTGTGCTGCTGCCAGGAAGAAGCTGGCGGTGAAGATGGGAAGCAGAAAGCGCAGGGTCTGGAGGAAAAGCTGGAGAGCTGGAGTAAGCTACTGGAGTCTGCTGAATTCTGATACCATGGGGAGGCAGGGACATGGGGGGGGGGGGGGCAAACCCTGCACATAGAGTTTCAAGATCTGTAGGAGGAGTTCTGTGGCTTCTCTGCTGCCAACTGATAAGATGGAGGAGGGCAGAGACAAGGGGAGTGCTGCAGGACTGGTGCAAGGGCCCCAGTGGTGGCCCTTATTTAGTCCATGGGCCTTGTGTTTGACATGTGTGGATTAAAGAAAATATCTAAGGCTTTAGCTGAATTTTATCTTTATTTTTGGGGAAGATTTCCAAATGTTTACACCAATGTTATTTTTATAATAAAAATGTTTTTTGTAAAAAAAAAAAAAAAAAAACATTTAACATAGGGCATGCACATGACAAGTCATTTTGTGTCACAATTTTTTTTTAAATTAAGAAAGTATTATTATTATTATTATTATTCAGGATTTATGGCGCCAGCAGTTTACTCAGCGCTTTACAATATAATGGGAGACAATACAGCAACAATACAGTTCAGTACAAGAGGGAAATTTGTTTGTTTGAATAAAATTTGTTTTCAATTTCACAATTTTTTAAAATACTGTCACCAGAGCAGTACTGCATCATCATATGACCAATGTGGCAATGATCAGGGATACTGACTGGTGATAGTATGTTAAAAATAAAAATATTAATATTTTTTATTTCATTTTTGTAAACATTTTTACATTGTTTTTCATTTTTTTTTTTTTTATTATTTACTGAATTTTATCCTTATTTTTGTTTTGTAATTGCACATTTTTTTACACCAATAGTTTTAGAAAAATGTTTCTTGTAAAAAAACATTTAACATAGGGTGTACACGTTACAGTCTGAGGAATTCAGTGGGAGGCATAGTGAGTGTTTTGAAGTTGTAATTTTTTGTCACAATTTATTTTAAAATGAGTTGACTAAGATTTGTTTATATTTCATCATTTTCTTTTTTACATACTGTCACCAGAGACATATGACCGGTGTGGCAAAAAATGTTTTTGAAAAAAACACGATATTTTCTCATTTCTGCCATAAAAAATATCCAAAAAAAATCTAATTTCGTCATACATTTAGACCAAACTGTATTCTGCTCCATGTTTTTGGCTAAAAAAAAATCCCAATAAGTGTATATTGATTGCTTTGTGTGACAGTTATAGCGTCTACAAACTATGGGATACATAATGGAATTTACTCAGCTTTTACTTTTTGACTGCCCATCACATTTCTTGAGGTGCTAAAATACCAGAATAGTACAAACACCCCCAAACGACCCCTTTTCTGAAAGTAGACACCATAAGCTATCTGCTGAGAGGCATATTGAGTCCATGAAAGATTTATTTTTTTTCGACAAATTTTTGGAAAATGAAAAAAAAACTTTTTTTTTATACACAAAGTTGTCATTTAAATGATATATTTCTCGCACAAGCCATGGGTATATGTGGAATTACCCCCCCCCCCCAAATACATTCTGCTATTTCTAATGAGTATGGGGGTACTACGTATGAGACTTTTTGGGAGCCTAGTCACATACAGGAGCCTGAAATCCAATGACCACTTTGAAAGCCTGAAGGTGCGTAACTTCCTCATTTCACTTCCTCACTACCTATCACAATTTTGGAGGCCCTGAAATGCCAGGATAGCACCAAGAAATTTAACAAGGGGCATGGTGAGTATTTTGCAGATCTAATTTTTTCTTTTCTTTTTTTAATATTTCAAAACCTTGTGAGAAAAAATATGTTTTTGTTTTCTTTCTTCATCTTCCAAAAACTTGTGGCAACAAACGAGATCTGCAAAATACTCACCATGCTTCTTATCAAATTCCTTGGGGTGTCTACTTTCCAAAAAGGGATCATTTTGGTGGGGGGGGGTTAGGTGCTATCCTGGCATTTCAGTGCCTCCAAAACTGATAGGTAGTCAGGAAGTGTAATGAGGAAATAAAGCCATTTAAAAGCCTGAAGGTGCTTATTGGATTTTGGGGTCCTGTACCCGGCTAGACTGCCAAAACGTCTCTCACATGTGGTACCCCCATACTCGGGAGAAGTAGCAGAATGTATTTTGGGGAGTAATTCCACATATATCCATGGCATTTAAGAGACAATTTTGTGAAAAAAAATTGTCCTTTTCCCAAAAACTTGTGGTAAAAAAATAAATTATTTTATTGACTCAACATGCCTCTCAGCAAATAGTTTGGGGTGTCTACATTCCAAAAAGGGGTCATTTTGGGGGGATGGGGGCATTCTATGCCCAGCATTAGAAGTTTATGCCACACATCACTCACTCTTCTAACCACCTGAAGATCAAGCCTTTTCTGACACTTTTTGTTCCCATGAAACAATGTAGTACTGACGTGATACTTTTTTTATTTGCACGAACATACAATTTTGAGGACATGCTTGCGGGGTCTAACCCCTTCTTCAAGGTCCGAGCAGTACTATTACAATGTTTTAGCAGAATGTTAGAAGTTGGAGATGAGAAAAAAAAAAAATCAGAAAGAAACACAAGCCTAGGGTTAAACTAGAAATAAGATACAGCAAAGCAAAGACTGGGGGGCGGGACAACAATCACAGAGAGAGTCATAAAAATGTCGGATAATGATTAACCCCTCGCCTACCAGGCACTTATACCCCCTTCTTTACCAGGCCAATTTTCAGCTTTCAGCACTGCCGCACTTTGATTGACAATTGCGCGGTTATGCAACATTGTACCCATATGAAATTTTGATCATTTTTTTCTCACAAATAGAGCTTTCTTTTGGTGGTATTTAATCGCCGCTGGGCGCTTTACTTTTTGCGCTATAAATAAAAAAAGTGCAAAAAATTTGAAAAAAAAAAAAGTTTCTTTGTTTCTATTATAAAATTTTTCAAACAGGTAATTTTTCTCCTTCACTGATGTACGTTGATGAGGCAGCACTGATGGGCACTGATAGGCAGCACTAAAGGGCACTGATAGGCAGTACTAATAATGAGGTGGCACGGATAGGCGGCACTGATAGACAGCACTAATGAGGTGTCACGGATAGGCGGCACTAATATGCAGCACTGATAGGCGGCACTGATAGGTGACACTGATGATGGGTACTGATAGACGGCACTGACTGGCGGCACTGACTGGCACAACCGCTGGGCACTGACTGGTGGCACTGACTGGCAGCACTGCTGGGCTGCACTGGTGGGTGGCACTGGTGGGCAGCACTGGTGGGTGGGCACAGGTGGGTGGCACTGGTGGGCACAGGTGGGTGGGCACAGGTGGGTGGCACTGCTGGGCACAGGTAGGTGGCACTTCTGGGCACAGGTGTGTGACATTGCAGAGTGGCACAGGTGGGTGCATTGCTGGGCACAGGTGGGTGCACTGCTGGGCACAGGTGGGCGGAGCTAGTGGGCGCACTGCTGGGCACAGGTGGGCAGAACTTGCGGGTGGCACTGCTGGGCACCGATCATCAGGGCACCGATCATCAGTGCCCTGATGATCGGTGCCGATCCCCGCTCTGACAACTGCCGGTTCTCGGCAGTACTTTCCTCACGATCTGACAGCGTGAGGAAAGTGCAGCCGAGAACCGGCACTTGCATTTCCCTCTGATTTCCCTTGGACACCGCTGATCACGTGGTAAAAGGCCGCTGTGATTGGCCTTTTACCACATCACGTGATCAGCTGTGTCCATAGGACACAGCGATCACGGAGATCGCCGGGTGCGCGCCCCCTGGGGCACGCAGGAGAGCGCGTTCTGGGGGGACGTCATATGACGTCCACCCAGAACTGGCCGGCCGCAGTGCAGCCGTCATTCGGCTATCTGCGGTCGGCTACTAGTTAACAAAGTAACAAAGGATCTTATGTTGGTGAGACAGGACAGAAGGTGCAAACAAGGATGAATCTGCACAGACATACCATCCAGGAACATAAAGGAGATGACCTCTGCACACCTGGGGGACACCATTTCACACAACCAGACCACACAATGGGAGACCTCAATATTTTAGTTCTTAAAGGAAATTTCAAATCCATTCAGGAAAGAAAAACTTTTGAACTAAGAATGATAATTCTATTTGACACAAGAGATAACGGCCTGAATTTGGACCTGGGATTCCTCAATCATTATCCCCCCCCCCAGTCTTTGCTTTTGCTTTGCTGTATCTTATCTCTAGTTTAACCCTAGGCTTGTGTTTCTTTCTGCTTTTTTTTTTTCTCATCTCCAACTTCTAACATTCTGCTAAAACATTGTAATAGTACTGCTTAGACCTTGAAGAAGGAACATTCCCCGAAAGCTTGTCCTCAAAATTGTATGTTAATGCAAATAAAAAAAGTATCACATCAGTACTCAATTGTTTCTGTCGCAAGTGCACTAATGCGGCTACAATCACCTCAAGCAAAATGTTCCCATGAAAAAAATCTGTATTTTTTGCTAGGAAATTACCTTGAACCCCAAATATTATATATTTTTTAAAGCAGACACCCTAGTGAATAAAATGGTGAGTGCTGCAAATTTTTATTTTTTATGTCACACTTTACTCGCGCCGTGATTTTTCAAATGCAGATTTTTTGCAAAAAATACTTTTTACTTTTAATGCACAAAATACTTTTTACTTTTAATGCACAAAAACACAATATATCAGCCAATTGTTTGGTAAACTATAAAAGATGATGGTATGCCGAGTAAATAGATACCAAACATGACATGCTTTAAAACTGCATGCCCAGTGCAATGGTGACAAACTGCATCTATTTTTAATATCCATAGGCAACGCTTTAAAAACCTTTACAAGCTATCATTTTAGATTTACAGAAGAGGTCTAGTGCTAGAATTACTGCTCTTGATCTGACGTTCACGGCGATACCTCACATGCATGGTGCAACCGCTGTTTACAAAGGCACACCCCTTTTGACAAAGTGTAATTGCACGAAACGCGTTAAGGAGGAGCCCTAACGTTGTGACGTCACGCCACTGGAGCCATACGGAGGTCTGGCTGCCATCTTGGATAGCGGCTGACACAGCCATATTGAGACATGATTTATCTGTGCACTGGAATACTATTTTAAAATTTTACGATTTACTATTTCCTTATATTTTTTTGGATATATCGGTATTTTATGGATGTCAATCCACAATAAATTTAATTTTTACAAAAATACTACGCTATATGGATTTTTTTCATATATGGCTTGGCTTTGAGCCAATTGCTCTTGGAGACCCCCAGAGGAAGCAAAGCTGCACAAGAGACTGGTGTCCAAACGAAGGATCCTTACTCCTGGCTGATCCACTTAAAGGGGACATCACGGATATTTGATGGTTTAATGCGCATATTCTATGTGCTTCTGGTGAGTGCGCATTTTATAAATAGATGCACGGAGTAACTTCATAAGGATGAATACTATCCATGAAGATGGAATTCACTACTTGAGATCGCTGACCTTCCTGAGCCATGCCTGCATGTTTTCTCACGCATATTAAGACTGTGTATTCGTATCTATTTTTGGTGCAATACATGAGCACCGTGTACACTTGAATGTATAGTTATTTTATTTGTTTGTATTATCGGTCATTTTTTAGCACTGCGTTTGTTTATAAATATTCATACTTATAGGATATCCTATGTTGGTGCAATTACTGCTGTATGTTTAACCACTTCCCGACCGGCCGTTGTATATAAACGGCCGGACGGTGGCACTGCAGGGTCGGGTGGCCGTTTATAAACGGCCTCCCCGCACCCTGCTTGTGCGCGCTCCCTGGGAGCGCGCAGCACCGCGATCCGGTGCCCGCTGTGTCCTCCGGACTCAGTGAAACACCGATCGTCGGACGGGACCTCTGTACGAGGTCCCGATCATGTGATAACTGATTGGCCAATCAGTGATCACATGCAAAGTAGTAAGCAAGATGTCACTTCTGACATCATTGCTTACTACGTGTGAAATCTGTGAATGATCACAGAGGTCACATGGTACAAGGCTATTCACAAAAGCCTTGTACCATGTGACAAGCTGTGACCAATCACAGCTCACTCAGTTCTTCTCAATGAGTGCAAGAATGCAGACAGAGAGAATGAGAAATGATTGCTTTTACATCCTATATGGGTGTAAAAGCAATCAGTGTAAAAAAAAAAAAAAAAAAAAAATCTTCATCACCCCCCACAAGTAGTACAGTGTTCCCATGGTGACACTGTACTGCTAGGGTGACAGTATGTAAAAAAAAAAAAAAAAAAATAATATAAAAAAAATAAAATAAAAATGTAAGCAAAAAAAATGTTTAAAAATTATAATTTTTGGTTATAAACTAATTTGGATTTTTTTTTTTTTACTAAAAAGATAACGGAATAAATTTTGGCTAAGATTTATGATGAAATATTATTTATTTGCAAAATTTTATTAAAAAAAACACTTTTTTTAAAAATTTTTGGACATTTCATTTACATAGCAAAAAAAATACAAATCCCAGCGGTGAATAAATACCACCAAAATAAAGCTTTATCTGTCTCAAAAAAATGGTAAAAAATTCATTTGGGTACAGTGTTGCATGATCGCGCAATTGTCATTCAAAGTGTGATAGCGCTGAAAGCTAAAAATTGCCCTGGTCAGGAAGGGGGTAAAAGTGTCCGGACTGGAAGTGGTTAATATCTATTATTTTTAGTCAGTTTTATAAACATCTGAGCGCTCGCTTTACACACTTTTAATAAAGAAATATATTTTAACCATCAATACTCACAGTTGAGCATGCGGTGCTGGTAGGATTACACAAGCCAACCTGACAGTGTAGATAGATTTGATCCTTGCTTCCTTTAAATGTAAGAACTTGAAGTGAAAAGCGACCTTTAAGGGACACTCCATTTTCTGCCACAGTGAGCGTTGGATCTTTCATGTTGGGGCATCTAAAGTTCAGACAAAAATTAGAATATTTTCAACAAAACTCAGAAATCTGAGTATTTACCATACAATACAGTATTTTCTTTCATTCAAAAGTTTTTCTGATCTGTTTATGTGATTTTTGGGTCGTTATCTACCATTTTGAATTTTTTACCACCTCAGCTCCGGAAGGTTTTACCCCCTTTTACCGCTGGGTTATTTTATTTTTGCAATATAAACAAAAAAAAGGAAAAAAAAAACAAATTTTATCCAATGAAGTCAAGTTTTGTCATAAATTTAGACATACAGTAAATATATTCTGCTACATATCTTTGGTAAAAAGACATCCCAGTAAGTGTATATTAATTGCTTTGTGTGATACTTATAGCGTCTACAAACTATGGTATAGATTAGAGATGAGCAAATTTTTCAAAAATTCGATTCGGCGAATTCCAGAGAACTGTCAGAAATAGCGGAGCTCTCTGCAGGGACACTTTTGCCGGCTGATCCAGGAAGAAATTCGATTCGATGCGAATTAATTCGCTACGAAGTTAACTTATAAAAAGGGTTTCTAGGCTTCAGAGAGCCTTTAAATTAGTGCAGAACACTGTACCTTTAATTTAAATGCCCTTGGAGATGAGGAAGGAGAAGGAGAAGGATGAGAAGAAGGAGAAGGAGAAGGATGAGAAGAAGGAGAAGGAGAAGGATGAGAAGAAGGAGAAGGATGAGAAGAAGGAGAAGGAGAAGGATGAGAAGAAGGAGAAGGATGAGAAGAAGGAGAAGGAGAAGGAGGAGAAGGATGAGAAGAAGGAGAAGGAGAAGGATGAGAAGAAATAGAAGGAGAAGGATGAGAAGAAGGAGAAGGAGAAGGATGAGAAGAAGGAGAAGGATGAGAAGGAGGAGAAGGAGAAGGATGAGGAGAAGGAGAAGGATGAGAAGAAGGAGAAGGATGAGAAGAAATAGAAGGAGAAGGATGAGAAGAAGGAGAAGGAGAAGGATGAGAAAAAGGAGAAGGAGAAGGATGAGAAGAAGGAGAAGGATGAGAAGAAGGAGAAGGAGAAGGATGAGAAGGAGAAGGATGAGAAGAAGGAGAAGGATGAGAAGAAGGAGAAGGATGAGAAGAAGGAGAAGGATGAGAAGAAGGAGAAGGATGAGAAGAAGGATGAGAAGAAGGAGAAGGATGAGAAGAAGGAGAAGGATGAGAAGAAGGAGAAGGATGAGAAGAAGGAGAAGGATGAGAAGAAGGATGAGAAGAAGGAGAAGGATGAGAAGAAGGAGAAGGATGAGAAGAAGGATGAGAAGAAGGAGAAGGATGAGAAGAAGGATGAGAAGAAGGAGAAGGATGAGAAGAAGGATGAGAAGAAGGAGAAGGATGAGAAGAAGGAGAAGGAGAAGGATGAGAAGAAGGAGAAGGATGAGAAGAAGGAGAAGGATGAGAAGAAGGATGAGAAGAAGGATGAGAAGAAGGAGAAGGATGAGAAGAAGGACAGTTCTGTGACAGTTTCTGTCTATTTCTGACAGTTCTGGGACATTCACTCCATACAGCGGTTGAAACATTGTATCTATTTGTTTCCATAAATGACATTCTGCAGATACACTTAGAGGAGCTCTGCAGATACACTTTTTGCCGGCTTGGAATTATTCTTATTTTCATCCTACTTCTTCTTCTTCTTCTTCTTCTTCTTCATCCTCATCCTCTTCTTCTTCTTCTGAGGATGAGGATGAAGAAGAAGAAGAAGAAGAAGTAGGATGAAAATAAGAATTCCAAACCGGCAAAAAGTGTATGTGCAGAGTTCCTCTATTTCTGACAGTTCTCTGACAGCTTCTTCACATGTACAGCGGTTGAAACATCTGTATCCTAAATGGAAACTAATAGATACAATGTTTCAACCGCTGTACATGTGTTCCTTCTGTCAGAGAACTGTCAGAAATAGCGGAGCTCTCTGCAGGGACACTTTTGCCGGCTGATCGGGAAAAATCCGATTCGCGCACCCGAAGTAGGCAAATATTCGGATTCGCCGCGAATCGAATTTTTCCTGAAATTCGTATCGAATTCCGGTTCGCCTGGTTCGATTCGCTCATCTCTAGTATAGATATTTGAAAGCTGAATAATCCTGATGTACTGACGGTCAATCTCATTTCTTGAGGACAGTACAAATACCCCCCCCAAATGACCCCTTTCTGGAAAGTAGACAGTCGAAAAAGTATGGCAAGATTTTTTGAAGTTATAATTTTTTTCACAATTTTTTTGAAAATGAAGAAATTAAATACAATTTGTTTTTTATTTTTTTCAAGCCTGTCACCTGTGCAGTAAAACATCATTATATGACTAGTGTGGCGGTGATCAAGCAAACTAACTGGTGTGTTAAAACATTTTTTTAAACAGTTTCTCCATTTTTTTAACATTTTTTAACATTTTTGACTTTTTATTTTACATAACATACTTTCATCAGAATAGTTTGGGGGGGGGGGGGCATGATCGGTGATTTTTTTTATTATGCTTTGTTGTTACAATGAAGATTAATGTAACAGCAAATAATGGCTAATAAAGTGGATAATAAAGACATTAGTGACTACTTGTACATTCTGTGTTTAGTATCTTTAAAATATAGAGCAGGTATACGCTACTACAGTATAACCTATACAAACCTTATCTTTTTCATTTGTTAAATGTACAGACCTTTTTGGTCCTTTACACAAAAATTAAATATTTCTGTATACTAATTTTACTGACTGTTAGGAATTACCTAATACCTCCTTCTTTTGAACTTTCATTGCAATGCCTATATTGTCATATTGTGATATTTTTCACTATGTTATTGTTTCCTTTTGACTTTGTTATACTATTTAAAAATCCAAATAAAAATGTATTGATGAAAAAAAAAAGTATTGTGCTACTCAATAGCTATACCTTAATTCATAAATAATAAATATAAATCATAAAAAAGCTTAACTAGTTGCCGACCGCAGATAGCGGAATGACGGCTGCACTGCGGCCGGCCAGTTCTGAGTGGATGTCATATGACGGCCTCCCAGAACGCGCTCTCCTGCGCGCCCCAGGGGGCGCGCACCCGGCGATCTCCTTGATCGCTGTGTCCTACGGACACAGCTGATCACGTGATGTGGTAAAAAGCCAATCACAGCGGCCTTTTACCACGTGATCAGCGGTGTCCAATGACACGCTGATCACAGGGAAATGCAAGTGCCGGTTCTCGGCTGCACTTTCCTCACACTGTCAGATCGTGAGGAAAGTACTGCCGAGAACCGGCAGTTGTCAGAGCGGGGATCGGCACCGATCATCAGGGCACTGATGATCTGTGCCCTGATGATCGGTGCCCAGCAGTGCCACCCGCAAGTTCCGCCCACCTGTGCCCAGCAGTGCGCCCACTAGCTCCGCCCACCTGTGCCCAGCAGATCACCCACCTGTGCCCAGCAGTGCACTCACCTGTGCCCAGCAGTGCCACCCACAAGTTCCGCCCACCTGTGCCCAGCAGTGCGCCCACTAGCTCCGCCCACCTGTGCCCAGCAGATCACCCACCTGTGCCCAGCAGTGCACTCACCTGTGCCCAGCAGTGCCACCCACAAGTTCCGCCCACCTGTGCCCAGCAGTGCGCCCACTAGCTCCGCCCACCTGTGCCCAGCAGATCACCCACCTGTGCCCAGCAGTGCACTCACCTGTGCCCAGCAGTGCCACCCACCTGTGCCACTCTGCAGTGTCACACACCTGTGCCCAGAAGTGCCACCTACCTGTGCCCAGCAGTGCCACCCACCTGTGCCCACCAGTGCCACCCACCTGTGCCCACCAGTGCCACCCACCTGTGCCCACCAGTGCCACCCACCTGTGCCCACCCACCAGTGCTGCCCACCAGTGCAGCCCAGCAGTGCTGCCAGTCAGTGCCACCAGTCAGTGCCCAGCGGTTGTGCCAGTCAGTGCCGCCAGTCAGTGCCCAGCAGTGATGCCAGTCAGTGCCGTCTATCAGTACCCATCATCAGTGTCACCTATCAGTGCCACCTATCAGTGCTGAATATTAGTGCCGCCTATCCGTGACACCTCATTAGTGCTGCCTATCAGTGCCGCCTATCCGTGCCACCTCATTAGTACTGCCTATCAGTGCCCTTTAGTGCTGCCTATCAGTGCCCATCAGTGCTGCTTCATCAACGCACATCAGTGAAGGAGAAAAATTACCTGTTTGAAAAATTTTATAATAGAAACAAAGAAACTTTTTTTTTTTTTTCAAATTTTTTGCACTTTTTTTATTTATAGCGCAAAAAGTAAAGCGCCCAGTGGCGATTAAATACCACCAAAAGAAAGCTCTATTTGTGAGAAAAATATGATGAAAATTTCATATGGGTACAATGTTGCATGACCGCGCAATTGCCAATCAAAGTGCGGCAGCGCTAAAAGCTGAAAATTGGCCTGGTAAATAAGGGGGTATAAGTGCCTGGTAGGCAAGGGGTTAATTAATATATAATAAATAATCCATGCATATATAAATTACATAAATACACACTTTACAATGGAAAATCAAAATCCATGATCAACGTTCATTTTGGCCATGCTCCAATTCACTTCTTAAATATATTTGCTTCAGTGATCTTTAAACTATATAACCAACATGTCTTACCACCACTCCTATGGATGGCTGCCCACCTAAGAGCCAGGACCTATATACCAAAATATACAAGCCACATGCACTAATTAATTCCCAGATATACACTAAGGATTGCAGTGCGTCTCGTGCTGTATACTTCCTCCACATTAGCAATCACTCTACTCCATGGCTGTCAAACTGGCAGCCCTCTATCTGTTGCCAAACTACAAGTCCCATGAGGCATTGCAATACTGACAGTTACAAGCATAACTACTAAAGGCAGAGGCATGATGGGACTTGTAGTTTGGCAACAGCTGGAGGGCCGCCAGTTTGACACCCCTGCTCTATTCCAGTTTGTGGTGCCTCTGCTCCTCCCCATAAGGAAGAGAAATAAATAGCCTCTGATCATATAATACCATGTATTAAAAAAATAAATAAATATATATACACCGGTATATATACACACACAGTATATATTGTGCCAAAGTCACACTCACAGTAAAAATAAGTATAAAGGGTTTTGCATCTAACCAGACTTCCGGTCCATGGCTCCATGCCGGAAGTGACGTCACTACCCTCCGCCCCATGTGTTACGCCACTACGCACGTGGCTTCATCAGGGAATGGTCCTTTATTATTCATGAATTAAGGTATATTTATTGAGTAGCGCAACACTTTATTATCCATTGTTCATTGATTGGGTGTGGGATCACTTCCAGTCGATGCAGCAACTCTTGGTTACTTGACATTAGTGTAGGTTTGGTAGCGCTCTTAGGTATTCATTTAGTTTGAATGTAACAGCAAAGTTAGGTGTCTCATCACACAGCAGAAGCCAAAGATTGTTACATCACTTCTGCTTTCAATGTGAGACGTAGTCACTTTCACACCTGCCAATCATGTATTGTAGTGATATAGCTACTTCCACTGCATGATTCGCTATGTGACATTTTGTATTCATCCTTGAACAAACCAACTTGATACATTTAATATATGTGTTCAGCCATTGGAAACATTCCCATTGGACGGGGGGATTTTTTGTAATGATGCCATCTATAATTGCTGTGTGTGGATTGTTAAATAATTGCAGCTGTTTTAGGTCAATCTGTCTAAAAGGGAACCTTTCCACCTGTTAATTGAAAAGGATGAATACACTAAAAAGGAGTTAAACGTTTGAGACATTTGGCGCGCTTTCGGGCCTAATAGTAAACCCTAATAAATCGACAGCACTCAACATTTCTCTCTCCCCTTTAGAGTTGTCGCACTTGCAGCAGATTTTACCATTCCCATGGTCACAGCGTCACATCCCTTTCTTGGGTATCAAACTGACTCCTAGACTATCAGACCTCTACGCAGCTAACTATCTTCCGATGCTAAACCACCTCTCAACCCTTCTGACCAAATGGTCTTCCCTTCCCCTCGCATGGCTAGGCAGAATAGCAGTTATCAAGATGTCAATCCTCCCAAAAATTCTATATCTGTTTAGAGTCCTCCCTGTTCCAGTACCTCCCCATTACCTCCGCACACTGCAGCGTCGCATCTTTTCCTATGTATGGGGCAATACTCGTCCTCGTATACCTCGCTCCACCCTCTATCACCCTAAGCTCAGTGGAGGTCTGGGCCTACCCGATATTAGCAAATATTATCAGGCAGCGCATTTAGCCCAGTTGCCTAAATATCATGCAACTTTTGAAATCCCTCAATGGGTTGCGCTTGAATCGATAGAATGTGACCCCTTATCTACAGCAAACTTACTCTGGTTGAGGCCGATGGACCGCCGCTCTATAACCAACCCCATCACTTCTCACTTTCTATCCTTATGGGACAAGTTGAAAACCCGTTATCTTCTCCAATCACCACATAATCCTATGCTCTCGTTCCTGCGAAACCCAGCTTTCCCCCCAGCTTGGCAGACACCCCTTTTATTTAAAGCATGGTCCTCCGCTAATTTACTCCGTACACATTTCCTACAGAGGAATAAGTTTAAATCCTTTGCCTCACTGCGGGAAACGCATAGCCTCCCAGCTTCCGAGATATTCCGATACTTGCAGCTACAACACTTTTACGCTCCCTATACCACTATAACCAATCGGCCAGACACCATGTCTTTCTTTGAACGAGCGTGCTACAAAGACCCCCATAGACGTGGGCTTATCTCCTGCCTATATTCACTCTTCACTACTTCGATTACCACGTCCCCCCCTTTGTATACCCATAAGTGGGAAGCGGATATGGGAAAGACATTCGACCCGTCTGAATGGGACCGCATTTGGGCCAACACAAAATCATCCTCACAGAACATTGTAGCATTGGAAACAAATTATAAAGTCTTAACCCGCTGGTACTTAGTCCCGGCGAGAATAGCAAAATTTACCCCTAATTACTCACCCAACTGTTTTAGAGGCTGTACGGACCCAGGAACGCATTACCATATGTGGTGGGACTGTCCAATAGCCCGAACCTTTTGGGGTGAAATCTTCACCATGATATCTACACTTAGCACTACCACATTACAACCCGACCCATCAATAGCCCTACTTAATCAATGCCTCCCTGGCATCTCCAATTCACAATTTAGGCTCATCATGCAAGTTACAACGGCGGCTAAGCAGGTCATAGCAAAATCCTGGAAATCCCCCACCCTGAGTATCGCGGCCGTCAAAACTAGAATAACACAAGCCATGATACATGCAAAGGTGGAAGCCACAATTCTTGACACGATTCCTAAACTCTTGCGCATATGGAGCCCCTGGGTAGAGCACTTCCTCCCCCCTAACTTTGACGAATCACTCCTTCTCCCCTGATTTGTATACTATGCACTTTGGATATACTCAATAGCCCTTTGTACGCAGCACGCAGAGGCGGTTGTAAACTTGTTGAACGTTCATGGAGTCGTGGTTGTTGTTCCACTCTCTCTCTCTCCCCCCTTCCACCCCGGTTTGACCCCTCCTTCTAATTTCCCCTTATTTCTTTAATGCACTCGGGAGACATTACCTTGATTGGCTGGAACAATATTGTCTGTTATTGTCAACCTTTATCTACCTGTTTCTGCTAGTAGCATATAGACATTTGTACTGTAAATCTCATTCATTTTTTTTTTAAATATTCTATTGCCATTTCCATGTCCATTGTACTTTAACAATGTCTCCTTGTTTGTTCCACTCTGCTTTATTGTTAACAATAAAATAGTTTGAACAAGGAGTTAAACGTGTCAGTAGGCTTAAGTGGCCTGTCTTTTAACGGACCATTTCTGAATTATTTACCTATTCCTTTTCTTTTACTAGCAAGGGCAACCAAGCTGTTACACTTTATAAAATAGAACTCAGTGTATATAAATGACGTCAAGGACAGGGAGGTACTAACCAACCATGTCACCGATAAAATGATGGGAATCCTGTGATCGTCATCACTCAGCTATATCTGAGGAATATGGGATTTGTCAATTCCTGATATAGAATGATCATTTACAGATTCAAAATGTTTTATTGATCCTAAAGGAAAATTATTTGTTTTTCTCGTTGTAGATCTGATTGGGTGCTCTGTGTGAAATTAATATATCAGGGGAAATGAAAAAAAGAAAAGCCTTATTATAGTCTGAAAAGAATGATGTAATGAACTTACTGGTTGGTAATGATATCATATCGGAGACCATTAGTGCTGTCAGCTGTTGGGGTGGCGTAGCAGTTTTTCATGACGAGCACAAATGGTGATGAAGCCGTAGCTCTGGTTACAATGACACCAACATATAGCATGGAGGTGGAGTTCAGCCACACCTGGGAGGCGGTATATGGGGGTGGTGTAGCTGGAATCTTGGAACAGACCCATCGTAACTGTGAAATTTACTGTTCCGGCTGCATTGATAGA